CTCTCTCTCTCTCTCTATTCTCTCTCTCTCTCTCTCTCTCTCTCTTTCACTCACTCTCTTTCTGTCTCTCTTTCTCTCTCTCTCTCGCTCACTCTGTTTGTGTTCATATTATAGTTGTCCTGTAGCATGATGATGTTCTATTGTTAATGCGGTCGCTATCCCACCAGGGGGCGACAGTCGACCCGGCGATGGAGTTTGGAATAAGCGAACATCTGGAGTTTGCTGAGGTGAACATGCTTTGGAAGAGGCTGATGGTCTCCACACAGGAGATGGAGTTGGCCCTGCACCAAGAGATTAGCAGGTATGCTGCTAGGAGTTCTAGACTGAGTGTGTGTGTGCGTGCGTGCGTGCGTGCGTGCGTGGATGTATCACACGATGTGATGCTGCAAGTTTGTTCACCACATATAGAACGTGCCAAACAACATATGAGTTCAATTTGCTACTTCATTTAGTAATTACCGTTGTAGAGTTAATTACGTGTTTAATTACGTGTGTTAATTAGACGTGTTAATAACGGGTTTGTGTATTTTAGGCTGGAGAAACTGCAGCAGACAGCAGACAAGGTGAACCGAGACACACGGAGCCTCGGCGTCAAGTTACACACCATCGACAAGAGGCTAGCCGATGTAAGCTGCTGATCGTCTCATATCGCGAGGGTCTGATGGGTCTCAGTCTGCGGGTGGGCTGGAGCTAGGATCATGTTTCTCAACCCAGGGGGATCTTATGTCTTAGTCCGGACAGTCGTATGGCTTGAGTCTAGGTAGTCGAGGAGGTGAGAGGTGTATCTGTCTGCATCCACGATGACGTGGGTTGCTAGAGAGTTGAGAAGATGAGAGGTATCTGTATCTGTGATGACGTGGGGGTTACTTGCTAGAGAGTTAAACAGATGAGAGGTATCTGTATCTGTGATGACGTGGGGGTTACTTGCTAGAGAGTTAAACAGATGAGAGGTATCTGTNTGTTAACGTGGGTGGGTTATGAGGTACCTGTATCTGTGTCTGTGTTAACGTGGGCTGGTTATGAGGTACCTGTATCTGTGTCTGTGTTAACGTGGGTGGGTTATGAGGTACCTGTATCTGTGTCTGTGTTAACGTGGGTGGGTTATGAGGTACCTGTATCTGTGTCTGTGTTAACGTGGGCTGGTTATGAGGTACCTGTAACTGTGTCCGCCGTGTTGATGTGGGTGGTTGAGGACGCGGTGACGTGATGACGTCCGTGTTAACTGGTGGTGGGTTACCTGCTTACAGGATGAGCTGCTCATCCCCGGCATGCCGCTGGCAGACGCGCGCTTCCACTGCGACCAGCTGGAGCAGGTGCTCAAGCTGGCAGACGATGCACTGAGGGGCATCTACACGGCAATACAGAACCTACGCGAGGACAACTACGACCAACATGAGACACTCACTGTCGGGTGAGTCGTTGTTGTTGTTGTTGTTGTTGTTGTTGTTGTTGTTGTTGTTGTTGTTGTTGTTGGTGGTGGTGGTATTGTTGTTGTTGGTGGTGGTGTTGTTGTTGTTGTTGTGGTGGTGGTGATGGTGGTGTTGTTGTTGTGTTGTTGTTGTTGTTGTTGTTGTTGTTGTTGTTGTTGTTGTTGTTGTTGTTGTTGTTGTTGTCGGTGGTGGTGTTGTTGTTGTTGTTTTTGTTGTTCTTCTTCTTTTTCTTCTTCATCTTCTTTTTCTTCTTATTTTTCTTCTTCTGATTTATTTTCTTCTCCTTCCTCTTCTTCCTTCTTCTTCATGTCATTGCTGTTGTCGTTGCTGTTGTTGTTTTTGTTATTATAGTTTTTGCTGTTGTTTTGCAGTTGTTGTTGTTATTGTTATTGTTGCTGTTTTATTTCTCTCTCTCTCGCTCCTCCCCTACAGAGCCGCAGGGCTGCACAGACTCCTGCTGGCGCTGCGTGACCGCTACAACCGCGGCGTCGGCGCGCACATGCACCGCAACCTCTACCTCACCGAGGAGTACGTCATCACGGTGACGCGCACGCAGGAGATTCGCACCGAGGTGAAGTCCTCCACCGACGAGAAGAGCTCCTCGTCGTCGCTGAAGCGCGGCGCCGCCAGGGGGCGCCACGACGACGCGTCGCCGCCGCGGAAGATGGAGCCGTCGTCGCCGCGGAAGACGGAGCCGTCGTCGCCGCGGAAGACGGAGTCGTCGTCGCCGCGCGCGTTGTACGCGGCGACGCTGCAGCCGCCGGCGCGTGCGCGGGACGACGTCGGGCGGCGCGCGGCGACCCTCGAGAGGTCAGAGGTCACGCGGAGGTCGGAGGTCACGCAGAGGTCGGACGCGGCAAGGATGGAGCGACGCACACCGGACGGGATGGACGACGACGGGGAGACGGCGATGAGGAACGGGATCGTTGACACGCGACCTTACTATAGCCGCGTGCAAGAGTGCATGCGCTGGATCGAGAACAAACGGGTGAGGGTCATGCAGGGGTCACGCCGCCATGTCTGTTTACTGAGGAATTGTTCTCGTCGATTAATTCACTAATTTATTATAATCGATTAATTCACTAATTTATATATTTTGTATTTACTTTATTTTTTACTTGTATTTATTTATTTATGTATGTATATATGTATTTTTTTCAGTAATTCATTTCGAACAGGTTGACATCATTACAGCACTAAGTCTGAAGATATACATATAGATTATATACATATATGTAGTGTATGTATAACAATGCCGTGTTGTTTCCAGGACATACTGGAAGCAGGACTGTGGGGAGAGGACCTTGAATCTGTACAGCGCCACCTGGCGGATCACAAGCTGCAATACACCGAGATTTCTGACTTCCACACGGAAGTGGACAAGTGCAGTGAAGACAAGGTATATATGCCGTGTTCATTCACCAACCTGCTTATCACAACCACCCAGCTGTTAGCTGCTGTCAATTCATGTTAGATTACACATGGATGCACGTACATGGAGGATGAATTCGGACATGCTTTTACACTGTACACAAGTGCTGGACACTTCCCCGCTGTTTATTGAGTTATATTTAATGTTATTGTTATCTGTTTATTGAATTTATTACCGCTGTATTAGGTATATGTATTGTGCATGTAGCTCTACTGAGCTCAGCGTTAGAATTTCGATATCAGTTACACTAACACAACTAAGGATGGGCTGTTTAGTATCATTGATTGCTTATTTAATGTTTTGTTCGATGTTCTAGACACAATTTTCCGGCGATGAATTGTACACATACATGCAGCTGGTCTCACAGTTGGAGACAAAGTACTCGCATCTGATGGTGAGTAGGCCTGAGGGTCAGACATGTAACATGTGAAGGTCGCAGGGGAAGGTCAGTCAAAGGGTCAGACATGTAACATGTGAAGGTCGCAGGGAAAGGTCAGTCAAAGGGTCAGACATGTAACATGTGAAGGTTGCGGGGAAAGGTCAGTCAAAGGGTCAGACATGTAACATGTGAAGGTCATTGGGAAAGGTCAGACGTGAAGGTCGTGTGTGAAGGTCACACATGAAGCTGATATGTGAGGGTCATTATAGGCCATAGCTCCTGTAGTTGATGGACATACAGGCAGACAAATAGATGGCATAGTATTAGTACATGTTATTAGTAAGTGATAATTAGGGTTAAGATAACAGATGAGGTAAGCATTAGGGTGAGGGAGAACGTGTAAGTTTTGTCATGGAGCCCGTTGTTAGAAACAGAATTAATCTTAACATTAGTCTTAACATGAACTTTTGCTCGTAGACCGTCGACAGAAAATTGGTTAAGTTACAAGCTTTCCATACGCTGTGTATAGAGGTCTGGTCTACAATAAAAAGTCAATGTTATGACTAATTAAAACTAACAACTTAAATTTTGTTTTGGACAATGGGCCCCTGCTCCTGCCCCCCTGCTGGTTGTACTTGATATTCACGTTTCCTTTCCCTCCTTCCGTGCGATCAGGACATGGCCATCCGCCGTCTGACGATGCTTGAATCAGTCGAAGAGTTTCTACGCGAGGCGGCCATCGAGTTGCCATGGATACGCAAGCGGCAGCAGATTGAGCTGGCGAGGGACTGGGGCGACACGACCGTGGATATCACTGAGGTTGCGCGGTACCACGAGGTACGTGAGACGTTCACTTGTTCGTTCCGCCACGGTTAAGCACCAGTGTGCGTTTATCGAAATAGTTATGATGCTTGTCTGAAATGTGGTTCGCTAACTGATTTATGATTTTTATGATAATATGATATTATTATATTTATTATTAATAATAATAATAATATTATTATTATTGGAATTTATTATTTTTAGCCAACTATCAATGACTTGTTTATTGTTCTAGACACTTGTGAGTGAGATTGAAGCTAGAGTGGTGAAACTGATGGATCTACAGCAGCAGGGACGGGACATCATCGAGATGAACCACCCATCATCGAAGGCTGTACAGGTAAGCTCTCTCATTTCAGATTTGTATCATAAATGCGCTCTTTGGCTGTTTGTGCGTGTGAGTGCATATGTGCGTTTGTGTGAGTGAGCGCATGCGTTTGTGTGAGTGCATGAGTGCGTGCATTTGTGTGAATGCGTGAGCGCATGCGTTTGTGTGAGTGCATGAGTGCATGCCTGCGTGTGTGTGTGTGTGCATGTGCGCGAGTACACATTGTCTTAGTCTTCCTAACACGCACACTCTCCTTACAGGTGCTGCTGCACCAGCTGGAGACGGAGTGGGCGTGGCTGATGGAGCTACGGCTCTGCCTGAGCACGCACCTCGAGAAGGTCACGACCTTCCATCGCTTCTTCAAGGACGTGCACGAGTGCGCCAAGGTCATCAGCCAGGCGGCCGAGGAGCTGCGCACGAAACATGGCGTCCGCGACGTCACGATGGAGGAGGGAGAGCGCCACCTACAGGACATGGAGGTAAGCGGGAGGTGACAGCTCTGGGCGGAGCGTGAGAGGGAGAGAGTGAGAGAGAGTGAGCATGAAAGTGTGTGAGAGTAAGTGAGTGAGAGAAAGAGAGAGAGTGAGAGAAAGAGAGAGA